CTAATAACATGTTGGTAATCACCACCATGTATTTTGATCACTGAAACACACTCTCAAATTACACTAGAATTACCAGAATTCAAGTTCCTGACATCATCTTTTTCTAACCTAAATCTCTACTTTGGCTCTTTGAATTACATACTCCTGTGCAAAGTAGATGCACATTACTAGCACGAGTCTCCTCTAAAGAGTAGCATCTGTTTGCAGTCTTTCTATAAAACAAAATATCATCCCCCTGAGAAGAAGAAAAGGAGAGGAAGGCTCAACACAACAGATTGATCAAGGTAACCTCAAAGCTAACAGCCTGTTTTTTTCAAAGGAGTTTTTTACAGCCACTTATATCCACTCTGTGTTAGCTTTGCAGGACTGCCACATTTGGCTAGGTTTGCTGCCTAGTCCATAATAACATAGTACAGCAAAGATTTTAGGTAATTTTCTTCTTTTCCACCCAGCTTTAAGACTAATTCAACCACCAAGTTTCCCTGCAAATGCCATGTTTCAAAAAGCCAGTTTCAATTTTGGCTCATGTAACATGTGACACTAAATCTGTATGACTGGCTGTCTTTGACTCCCAGGGCTCCTGTTTTCAGGGAGAGGTTCAGACTGAGAAGATAACATGACAGGAGAGTAACAGTTTTCTCACTAGCCCAGACTAATTCATGACATTATAGGAGCTGAAACTACAACATAAGTCAATGGCATTACATATAAGCAAGTTTCACCTGGGGAAACACTAGAAGAGAAACCCCTCTGGTCATACCTGGCTTCTCTTGAAGCTCAGGTATGGAAGCACAGCTCAGGAAGAACTGCAGAACAGGGCACAAGCTGTGCAGGCAGATCTCAGGCACAGAGCAGGAGGTACAGACCCCCAAACCCCTTTGAGAGCACTCTTTTTCCAAAGCAGGTGCTAAGGCCAACCTGCTGGGAACATTTGCCTTCCTCACTTTTGCCAAAACCCAGCGTTGGCAAAATTGATGCGAATTTTGCTGGCTCTGGCAGAGCTCACACTGCTTCTTTTTTTTCTGAGAGGCAATTGCAGACTGGCTTCAGCCCACAGGATTCCAGGGCCAGCAGCACCCAACTCCCCATCCCTTTCTGGGGATGTGCCCTGGTTCCCTCCCACAGGATATAGGAATGGCACAATCAGACCTCAAGGGAAGCATTAGATGCCCAAAATGCAACTGAGGCTGGTGCCACAAGGAGAACACACACACCATGACAAAAAAGACCAGCCAAGTTAAGGGCAAAGCTGCCATGAAAACAGACAGGGGTCACCTTGTCTCTGTTCCAGCAGGAGCAGGACGGAAAGCTCAGCTGCTGTAAAATCCAGCAGACCTGAACATCTCCCCTCAGAAGTGTGATTTCACCCACCCATTCAGCCATTTTTCACATTAGACGTTAGTGATCAATAATGCCAGGCAGTGACACAAAGCAAATTGTTTATTCAGATCAATCTTTTAATCCCATCTTGCCCTTTAAAATAAATTAGCAAATAAACTCTTCCATGAGCTATGTTCTAAATCATAATGTGGTCATGGGACAAAAAATTCCCATCAATGAAAAAAAATCAATTTTTTTGGAACTGTGTTGGTTTCACTGATTTGTTTCTTCTCAAAACATGAAGATTCTGCAAAACTTTAATCTGACACAAAAATCAGAATGCAGTAAACAGCGGGTTCTTTCCGTAGTCACACATTATTTAAATGTCGATAAAGTAATACCAATACATTGAGGGAACTGCTTCTACAAAATCCTGATAAAAACATTCCTGGAAAAGATTTTAAAAAATGCTTCAGTTGGTTTTGATGTGTGGTACCAGTCTATTTTACTGGGTTAAGTGGATTTAAGAAAAAAAACTATAAAAAACCCTGATACAGCATTTTGCAGCAGGTTATCTCAATGCACAACAAGCGCTTAGGAATCAAGCCTCAAAACATCCCTGTAAGTCAAGGACTTTACAAGCAGAGAAACTTGCATCAACAGTTAAGTCAGATGTCAAGATCACACAAGGACTCAGTCTTGACTCTTGTGGTGATCACAATATTTTGTAGAGAATGATTTATTATGACAGTGATAATTACTGTTCAGGTTTCCTATTAGTGTTATCTGCTGGAATGTAACCCCTCCTTAAGATGGGATGTTTTTGAGTAAAACAGTTTGATCCACTAGAAAGCTTTTTCAGATTTAACCCATAACTGCAGGTTTTAAAACACTAACCCTATATGGCTCCTCTTGCATTTTGATACCAAAAAGGAAGTGCTGCATCACTAAGACTACAAAGTAAGGCTGATGTAGCAATGAGCACCAGCTGTGTCATTAGAGAAGCACAACTCTACAGACCACAGGCTGTATGTCCCTTCTTTTACTCTAGATTTGAGTTCCCCCTTTTGTCTTTTGTTTTTCTTTTACTTGGCTTTAAATTTTGGCTTAGCCAGTTATCACTGCTCCCAGACACCGAATCCCAAGGGACTTGTCTTGCCCTCATCACCAGTAGGTGTCACAGTGAAGGATGTGAAGTACCTTTGCTGCCCAGCTCAGGCTGCAGTCCCTGCTCCGCGCTTTTCCGGGGAAAGCCCCGCTCCCCCTTCCCCTGCTGGGGCACGAGTTAGTGCCAGCACCTTGAGCAACCCCATGCCTGTAGTATTTTACTTGCACCATCTCTCTCCACAACCAAGAGATGAAAAGTTTCCCCTGACAGCTGCCCACAGCACCAGGCTATCAGGCAGCTGGTCTAACATTTACTAGCTGCTTTCTGTCCCTCTCTCAAATCACAAGATTTATTTGTTGATTAATAGTTGTGTATTTCTGTAAAAGAGAAAAAATGCCTCTCTGTGAAAAAGTTTAAATATATAAAAACACTTCATAAAAATATTTATTATAAAAATTGAATGCCCCATGAGCCTGTAAACGTTGCCTGTAAAATCTCCATTATCTAGAATAATCTGAATTACAGTCATTCAGGCTCTTCTCTGCCCTCTCCAGTAAGATTTTAAGATAGCCAAGAGAAATGCCACTTGTCTTGTACATTGATCCTCCTGCAACCAGTTTTTCTTCCTTTTTTTTGTTTACTATTCAACAGATTGATTTCCCAATGCTGGCAGTTTTCTTTGGAGGCATCATTTGTCTTTGTTTTTAATAGAGTTCAGCATGGCCTGATTCTGAGCCCTTCTTACAGAGTGGGTTTGAGGTCTGACTGGTAACAGGAGCAACACCAGGATGCTTAGAATGTGCATGTGAAAATACACAGACCTGGGAACAAAAGCAGAAAGAATATTATATTTTTGCTGGGAAAAACAGGAATTCTGCAGCCCAAATATAAAGAATTTAGTGCTAAGTAATGAATGCAGAATGTATGAACCTGACCTAGAAAGCACAAAAATATACCCTTGAATTTCACACAGTCTTGGAATATGATGTCTGCTGGCATGGATGAAAATGCTGCTGTGGATGATAATGGGGCAAGGCAACCATCAGCAAACCCTAGAATCCAAAGTCTGACAGCTCAGATAAACCCATCTAATTCAACCCCAGATTTATTCAGCTCATCTCTCTTCTAATATTAGAATTTACAAGGCCAAGTTGTGAAGAAATATCACTCATGGTTCAAAAAGAATTTTAAAAAGTGACAGAAAGAAATAAATTCAACCAAAGTGCTGAGTCTGAAATAAATCAAAACACTCAGCTTTTAACTGGAGAAGGTCAGGTAATGACGTTTACAGAAGGCTTGCATTTTTGAAGGTAACTGCTCAGAGGTATCTGTATTTGGTATGTTTCTAAACATCAAATATTTTTATTTCAAATAATTCAGTATACACTAGTTCAAAGAGAAATAAAAAATTTCCAATTTTTTTTTAACCAAATAGATGAGGTTCTGGCAGCTTGGGGAAGATGGTGACTGGGACCAGTGTGGTCCAGCTGTTAAACATAGCAATGCACATTTCTGTGGTCTCATCTATGCTTCTTACCATAGTTTTTAATATCCTTGTAAGGTGCTTAAGACCACTGCTTGTGGTGTGAAGTGCTCCAAAAATTCATGCCCTAGTCCAAAAGCATAACATTTTCTTGCTTACGAGTCTCTAAGTTCAAATGTTAACTATGTTCAAAGTTAACCAGGGCAAAAGTCACCAGGGCAAAATTATTAAGAAATGAAGCTAAGAAACATCTGGAGAAATTTTTACTCCATCATAAGTTTTCTGTGTTGAAATCAAATGTTTCAAGAAACAGGAATAGAAAATGTTGAAATTCAGCCTCCTGCAAACAGACAGCAGCTATCTTGACTAGCAGCTTTGTGTCTTTTATGTTGGTGGAGGGAATTTACTTTCTTCTGAACCAAAAGCTGTTACTCTATATTGTCTCTATATTGACTCTAAATGAAAGAAGAGTAAAGCCATGTAGTCCTGTTTCCCTTTTCTACTTATTTTCTCAATTTTTCTATTCCAGCTTGGTTTTATTAGAGGACATTCAATGTGCTCTGCAACACCAGTGTTTTCTTATTTTTAAGGAATCTAGGGAAATACTCCCTTTGTAATAAGAGAAGCATACTTTTGTAATGAAAGCACACTGATTTCAAGGAGCAATGCTCTGCCAGGAGCCCTCCACATCTCCTGCTGCTCCATCACACCTCCCCTTATACGCATTGAACAGCTGGAAGCCTGGTCTTTGCTCAGCACCTCCTTCCTAATGCCAACTCACATTATTCTTAACCTCTTCAGCCTTGGCTACTGCTAGTGGTTGAGGCCCAACTGTTTTGGAAATGGAAACCCAGTATATGAAATGTCATGTAAGGACATAGAATGAGAAGAACAACCAAAGTGCTCTGCCTTGGCATTGTTATAATCTCATTACGTTACAGGAGTGCAAAAGTCACCTCTTGTACTTTAGCAAGCATCCTGTCTGTGCTGCTTTAAAATTTGATAAAATGCTAACTGCCTTTCAGTGTGGTTTGGGTTATTTAACAAAAGTCCCTGGCACCCTGGAGAGTAAAATCAAGGGCAGAGGACTCACTTGTAGAACTTTATGGTGGGCTCCACAGCCAGCATGACGAATGGTGCGACCGTGTAGCACACAGCCAGCTGAGTGACCGCCCAGGTAACCACGTCGTAGGCTATCTTCAGAGGCACTGGCGAGAGGAAGTAATGTCTGCAGTTGTTCCTTATCTGCAGGCCAAGGAAAAGTAAGCAGAAAATTATATAAACATTTCTTGGGCAAAGCCACACAGACACACAGCAGTGCATGACTCTGTTTACCATCAGCATTAGTTATCACAGGAAGGTTTATTCATCAGTTACAAAGCACTGGGAGCAGGAATACAGATGTGTACAGACTGGCATTTTCAAGATCTCACAGTCAACCAGTGGCAGACAGAAGTGGCCCCCAGTTTGTTCTATCATAACCACAGGTGCAGACTCTCTCATTCTGGATGTCTGGTACAATATTTTTTGGGAGGGAACCTGTTCCTCCCTCCTGACTTTCATTTCTTACTGGTTATCAACAGTAAATCAAAGTTACTTCAAATGAACAAGTAAGTGCTTATACCTACAAGTGTGTGCCCTTCTCTAGAGATTTAAAGTTAGTTTCACATCTGTGAAATCCTCATAAATGAGAGGCAAAGCGACCTGCTCTAGCAATAGTGGTTAATACTGGTCACTAGTTTAATTCTCCTTTCAGATTAACCTGGTTATTTATCCATAGTCATCTACAAAAGACAACAGTGGTGCTTCCCAGCCCTGCACAAGTGTCTGGTTCAGCAGGAAAGATCAACAGTGATAAATTTAACAACAGTGAGACATGAACCCTGTTCTGTCTTTGGTGACTGTATACAAAATGAGGCCCATAAACACACAGACCATTTTACTGCATCAATTGCATCCACACAAATTGTTCAAGTTTCAGCTAATATTCAACCCACAGCAGCGTCCTTGTGCAAGACTGGGCCCAGAGTTAATTACAAGCCAGCATACAGGAAACATGACCCAGCAGAAGTCTGGAATCCCACAGGACCTTGAATCCCAAGCTCATTTGAATGCATGGACACAGCTGGTGGCACCCCTAACTATACATCCTCAAGCAACATTTCCTCTGACAGTCAGCAACTGCAGTGCATCAGAATTGGTGTTGGTTATAACTGCTGGGTACTTTGCAATTAGCATCAATACAGAACAGAGTTTCAGTGAGCATCAAGCCCGCAAAGGCATGAAAGAGGGCTCACAGCAGGGACAAGCTGCTTGACCATGTGCTTGACCAGCTGATAGCTGGATAGTGTCTAGCCTTAGAAGAGAACAATGAAAGGTACATACTGCTCTGGCTGCGAGTGTGATAAGGATTCCAGTGAGAAACGTAAAATAATATCCAGGATAGATACCATGCCACAGGGCCGACAGGATAAATGTTAAAGCCGTAGGGTACCAAGGAGCTCTGTCATAGCAGACACTGCAAAAATGAAAACAAAACAGAAGAGGTTGAACAGTGGCCACTGTGCTCGAAATCCTTCTGTTTCTAAGGTCTCAGTTTGTTTTGTTAGCTGTCTTATCTTGGTTTAGTCACACACTAGGGCATGAGACACTCTCCGTTTAAATGGAGGTTTAAATGGAATGAGGAAGCAGACTTATATGCAAATGAGTTCCCAAATAGTGCCGGTACAAATATTTCTGGTGCTCAAAGCATTTAAATCAATAATGGAAAAAAGGGCAGGCAAGACTTTGTTCACCTTTACATCTCTATCTGGAATCATACGTTACCCTTCCAAACTGTGATGACAGATCAAGAGCAAGTTGAAAGACAAATAGATGTGACCCCACCCTTCACTCTAGTGAAGAGAGGTATTTTTAGGCACAGTTATCTGGCAGATGCTGGGAACAACAGGGAGTGCCGTAAACTATTGCAAAACAGGGGATTCCAGCTAACTTTAGCAGCAAAAATCTTACTCCCGAGATGCAAGGATAACAGTTCAAGAAAACAACACCCAGTCTATTTGGCTATCTGAAGTTTAAATAAAATGCTGTGCTCCACAGAAACAAGTCAAGATAATTTTTTTACCAGGAACCATTTGAATAATGAAAAATAGTAGATATTGACTTTTAAGATGTATAGATTTAGTTACAACAACTACAATAAATCTGTGTCTGCATTTCAGACACTATGTCAACTGTATGCTGAGCTTTAATCACACCAGAAAATGAAATGAGTAATGAGACACAGTCCAATCTACAAAATTTGGACTTATGCTAGTATTTATAATACTTGCCTTAACAGTCAAAGGTTAAAATCAGATCCTGTCAGTGCTATAAGTATCTTCCCCATATCCTAAACAAGGACTGCCTGGCAAGCATCTTAGGGTAACTCCAAACTAGACTACACTGGGGCTCTGAATTGAATTTCTGGATCCCAGTGACACAGCAAGACTTACCTCAGTGTGGGGAACATAACACAGCAAAGCAAAACAGTACAGGAAAGTTAATGGAGGGAAACAACAAAATGCTATTGCTTTCTATTATGGAAGTTTTGAACAGTTTGTTTATGACTTTGCTGCTCATATATAAAATAGGAGCATTTCACACTTGCAGCAATGAAACTTTACAGCACCAAATACCCTTGTATTGCACCAACTATTACTGACACAGGAAACAAAGGAAGAACAAGAAGCTTTACATTTAGGAGAGCTACCAAGCAGCGTTTTTCCATGCCATGGAGAGCTTTTGGATCTCACAAGCACATAACTGTTTCATTACTCTTACCGTTTCAGCCAGGCAGCTGTCTGAATGTTCCAGTTTTCAATGTACATTTTAAAACTTGTTGCAGTCTAAAAAAGAAGCTCACATGAAATGTTAGCAATGAAGCCTGTAAAATACTACTTGCAATTTAAATTAGCGAGGAGGTACATGGAAAATATTAATTCTAGCAGCTAACTTTTATGATGACTGTGCCACAATCCATCATTATACTAATACGACTTAGGAGGGACATTAAATAGGCTGATGGCTCACTGCTAACACTTGGCACTTGCTCTAAAATCTCACTTTGTCTCATATAATTAAATACAGTGTTTGGTTACTTTTCAAATAATGGGCAATCTGAGAAGCTTTCTTGTTTTATATGCTTGGCCTTCCTTTCTCTTCATAAACAGCTTTATTTCTGGAAGAGATATCTTGCCACCCATTATGTAATCTGGACTTCCCTATAGTGGTACTAAAACAAAGTGTTATTTTAAAAAACCCAAACATTTATTATTATTTTTATTATTACTATTTAGAGAAGGAAGGGGGAAGACTGAAAAATATGGGCAAAAAAATTAGGACTAAATTTACAAGCCAATTCTTGGCCCACTGGTAAGCTTGAGAAACCAGAGTGGACTCCAGTATCCTGAGAGAACCACCCATACCTCCTCCTCTGAGCTCCCCCAGCTTTAGGGGACTGCTGGACTCTATTGTTCAGCATCAGTTCCCCTACTGCTGATCAACTTCCTCTCCCAACTCCACCTTGGTCCCTCGCCTGCTGGCAGAAACATCCAAGGACACCCTGGCCAAGTGGGAACATGATTCAGTGACACCACAATATTATGCCATATCAGCTGAAGGGAAGGGATGGAAAAAATGACTGAAAAAATGGATTAAGGGTAAGGGCTACCAAGGGGAATGGGCAGATATCTTTGCACTTCCATGCAGAATCCCTAAAGCTAGCATTTCATCCTCTGCATTTAAAGAGTTAAAATGATTAACAATTCCCAATGCAGCACTGCCACATTTTAATTGAATTACTGCACCACGAGAAGCCAAGAAAAACACAGTTTCTCTTCCAACTAATATTGTCACTCTCTTTTGGCCTCCTTTAAGTTCCCCTGTTACATTACCAAGAGAGGAAGTAATTGCTGGCTGTCAAAACAAGCATGCTGCCAAGGCTTTCAAGTCCCCCACGTGGGCTTAGCCCCTGTCATGTTTTAAGGCCCACACAACCCCTTCCATGTGCTTATCTTCTCTACAGATCAGATAGTCACATTTAGCACTCAAGTTGCCAGCTCTGAGGTAATTTTACATATGCAGGTGGCTATACCTGCTGAAAATATAGACTGTATCTGTATAGACCATACAATCACACTTCAACTGCCAGCATTGCTGTTGGCACATAAAGTGATGGTTCAAGGCTTAGCCAAAGCCATGGTCTCCATAGCTCCATAGCCTCTCTTTTTCTCATTGCAAACATGAAAAAAATCAGACAACACCCTATTTTATGCTCTTGAAACAATTTCTGATCTCTGTTGCCCATGTGACCTATAAAGGAAGTAAGCTTTGAGAGACCATCAGTTCAGTGGGTAGAGAGGAGCAAAGGCTCCTCCATTTGGCTTGACTGAAGAGTACTGGCTGCATTTTACTTTCCTGCTTCAAACAGAAGCTGCCTCAGCCCATCAAGGAATCATCTCCTGCCCCAAAACTGAATCAGATATAGATTCAAGATCTCAGAGTGGTATCTAGGGTGTTGCTGTCATCAAGAAGTGTAAAGCATTTCTGGGCTGTGTATCCTGTACTCATCAAGGACTACACTGAGGATTAATCATGGTTAAAAGAGAAAAAGAGAAAGAATGTTGAAAAACAGGGAATGTATAATGAGCCTTTCAATTTTGGCATCTTCAAGGAAGAATTACAAGGGTTATTTCATTTTTGAGAAGACTTATTACAGTACATTCACTTAGTCACAGATTGTTCAGCAATAAAGCAATCAACTTATTTTTATCTGTGATTACTTTTAAAATCACAACTAGAGAATTACAGAGGGAAGCTTCTCCTCTTTCCATAAAAGAAGCCTTTAGAAAGCAGTCGCAGACACACAAATATTTCCACATCTCACTGGCACTCTCAAAATATTCTTCAGGGCAAACAAATTATATGGGCCATCTTTTGCACTAGAGACACAAACACGAAGTTTTCAAAAGGCTAATGGATCTTAAAAGTATGCAGCAGTCACAAGGAAGGAGTGAGAGCTGTTTTGAGCAAGGGTGTTCCAGACCAGCACCCGTCTAAGCTCTGTGTGCCCCTGTCAGCTCCCACTCCGGTTGCTTGGTTTGTACCTGTTGTGTCTCCTACCCTTGCTTTTCTCCACGTACCAGAGGCAGTTCAGCCCTTGCACATGTCTGTGCCACTGGTGGCAGCCTCTTTCACTACCACCACTCATCTCAACTGGGCTACAAAAGTGAAAGATTGTTAGAAGTAAATAAACAGAACACACCACAGATGGTGAAGAATCATAGCTGCGAACAATTTACTGACCCACTGAGCTCAGCCTCAATCTACAGTAATTGACTGCTCCTTTATTAAATATCTGATATCATTATTTTTAGCCCTCACGAAACTATTTCTAAATACAACCTGAATACAGAGCATGAGGTAGCCTGTGAGACAGATGCATTTTATTTGTCCAACAGATAAAATACAAAACCTCTTTGTGCTAAAGAGGAGCAGCCTGGTAGCATAGATTTCCTTCCAGTAAAGCCCTTACCCATTACCATGCCCATTTCTGTATAATTATGCCAATGCAGCCACTCCTTTATCTCACCTCAATGTTCCAGATATTCAAATTGGACAACAGGTCCCAGCGGAAAGTGCCTTTCTCATCAACTCCACTGAATCCATAACCAGCTGCATTGTTGACTGCATCTGCTGCAATGTCAAAGCAAAACAGGTCAAAATCAGACTGCTGGAAGAGACATGTTTTCTTACAAGTCAGTATGGCACTAAACAAACATTCAAGACAGTTTTGTAGGATTTAGCAACCTCTCTTCCTAGGAGAAGCTTCTTCTTTGCAAAAGGGCATTACTATAAGGCTACACAAGAGTAATTTCCTCAAGAGGAAAGACTAGCTACTCCTTTTGCAGAAGAAATAAAATAATAAAAAAACAACTAATATAAATCACTTTTCCTATTATTTGGCCTTTATTATTCATCTGAGACAGATATTACCATAAACTGAATGAGCAATTTTCTCAAAAGGGCACCTGGATGTCACAGCATTTTCCAGAATTCAAAAAAACCTTAATATCTCAAAGACATGCTTATTATTTCCATTAAGAGTTCCAACAAGGCTATGTTAATTAAGACTGTCATTCAGAATTCTACAGACAAAGCCTTTTGCTAATCCTCTTGCCGAGTGCCTCATAAAGTGCCTCAATATCTCTATGAACCAAATATTGAGTAACTTCAGTTACACATGTAGCTACCTTAAACTAAGTAAATCTTGGATAAGAGCAGGCATTACACACTGATGCACTCTTGGTGCCTGGGAGTCACCTCATCATTGGGTCTCAAGATTCTGATTTCAACGTGCCTCTGCTAGAAATACCTACTTGGAGTACTAAGAAAACAGAAGGGAGAATTCATTATTGTCTCCAGATCACTAGTGTTGCAGCCAACACTGAGGATCATTGCAAAAAAAAGGGAAGCACAAATACTGGTTAGGCTTTTCCTTCCAGGTCATTTACAAAATACAAGCCTGGTTATTCCTTAAAAAGGTCAGCATTTCTTCCCCAAGATTTCACTTTGTAAATGCTGTGAGTACAGGCACAAACTCATGGAGAAGCCCTAGTGCACAAAACTAGGGAGGAAACCTAATTATAAGCAACAAGAGTAACAATAAATAAATAAACAAGCAACCTTCTCTAACCTGAAACTTTCTGTTTTGTTTTCCACTTTCCTAAATGAGAGAGATTTTATTGATGAAAAGAAAGCTCTCCATGTTTTAATTTTCTCCCTGTTTAAAAAACACTCAAACAATGAACAACAACCCTGCCTGAAGCTGGCCCAGAGGATCCTGCCCAGTCTCAGAGACTGGAGCTGCACATAACCCAGAGCAGTGCACTCCTGGATTTGCTCCTCCTTGCTCCAAGGGTAGCAGGGGCCCAATAATTAGTGTTTCTCGGCCAAAACCAATAAAGCAGGAGTCACGGGATGAGCAATAATCATATAGCATCCCCCTTGGCCTTTTGCTTCCCAGTCTGCTGTCTGCAGAGCACGGGGCGAGGCACAGGAAAGTCACAAGTGTGCGCCCTCAAGCTGCTCAGGAGCACGAATCCCCTCCAGCTCCGCAGAGCTTCCTTTCCTGCAGACTGGAGCAGCTCGGGCTGTGCATGGCTTTCACAGCTCCTTGCTTGGGGGCACTGGGACCCAAAGTGCTTTCAGTGACAGCTAGGAGTTCGGTCTGCAGCCGTGTTCCCAGAACTATCCCAGCGAGAAGCCGAATTTCCTTGCCGTGGATCTGGGCGGTGCAGCTCCCTCCCACACAATGGCGTGCTGCCCTGTCCTGAGGACAGGAAGCGTTTCTCGGCCCGTTTCAGCAGGGCTTTTGTAATGCCCTGGGCCGTGCCACCGGGAGCAAAACTGGGAAAGGATAAAAAAAGGATAAAGTGCCTGCAGTTCTGCTGCCTGGATTTGGGATGTGAATAGATGAGGCCTCACCCTCCACTATGCAATGCATACTTTTCTGCTAACTGCCTCATTTGTAAGATGTTTCTAAAGCCTCTGCAGCCTGCTCTTGTCACAAATGCAAGTTCAGTTTATCTCTTTAATAATGGCCTTCCAGTTAACTATAAAGCCAGAAAAAATGGAGGCAACAATTTAACATTGGATCCCACAAAAGTAAGTTTGTGAGCAAGCCATTCTTTATCTCAAAGCCTTTCCCATCCCACACAAGCCAGTCCTGGCTGCCTTCCCTGAATCTGACAGTTTTATTCCCAGCAGTTTAATCACAGCCTTGCAATGAATCTCCCTGGCTATTTCCAGCTCAGTGTCACCCTGCTCAGCCTCAAGGTATGTGCATTCCTTGCTGGACTTCCAAGATCTGCCCTACACACAATATCTTGTAATACTAGCAAAAAAATCCAGGAGATTTTCAGCTTGGCCTGAAGGGCTTGAGTCCTCACACACAGATGGTGAAACATGACTTGTAAAAGATGAAGGTAAAATGCAAAAATATTATTTTGACTACCAGTCAGTCTGACTGGCTCTTAAAAAAATTTGCTCCCCTCTTCAGTTACTTTTCCTCTCCCTTTTCCTTGCAGACATTCTGGTCCTTCCCAACACTTCCTTTGCTCCCCACAGTTCTCCAGTCTTTTCTCTGGACTGCTCAAAGCCAAGGTGTATACAGGACCCCACAGTGCTTTAGAGGCAAAGCTAGCATCAGCCCCCCAACAAGCACAGGGCCCACTGCCTAAAGGAACACATCTCCCACATGAACTACTGGTCTAGGGACAATTTTATTTCCCCCCATCCCAGCTTTCAGACCTCCTCCCCCATTTAGGAACTTATTTGCTGCACACAAAAGTACATAATGTAGCCAGACTTACCCAACGTCCATGCAAAGTAATACTTTGGTTTTGCTGCCTGTGTTACAATGTACAGGTAACCAAGTCTTGACAAGAAGGGAGTTTTATCAAGAAATTCGTTATCAATAATATATGCCATAGGAAAGTTCTTGGTAAGTGTCAAGAATAAAATGAGAGATACTAGTGTGATACACAGCTTGTACATCACTGCTCCCTAAAAAGCACAAACAATGAAACATGCATTAGAAACATTTGCTTAAGGGGAAGAACAAGGCAGTGCTCATGACATACAAAAACAATGGGCTTCAAGAACCATAAAAGTTACCAGTGACAAAGTTGATACTAATTAATTTAGAAGAGGTGACCAAGAGAAGGCCAGAGTCACAGCTCTAGTTTGATTTGGTTTATTGAACTACCTGTAGATAGGTAGGACAATCACAAGTCAAAATCTGTGAGGAACTTCATGACAGACTCTACATCAGTGTGTGAAGATTCTAAAATGGGAAAGGAAGCAAACCAAGCCCTACAGTGGAAAGCAGAAATCTTCTCTAAATGTACTGTCCCCTCCTGGAACTAAAGACTGGATTCCTCCGGAAGCAAAAATCACTGATATTCTGTGCAAGAGTAGGTACTACCCAGCTACCACCCAGAAGACTTGCTAAAAAATCACTTATCCACAAAGCGTTGTGTTGTTACAGCACGCTTGTACCCACGATACAGGGTATGTGCTCTGCCACAGGTTCTATTCCAGCTCCCTAGCTTCCTACACACCATTTTTGACAATCACTGCAGTACTTCAAAGCTTGTTTACAAATACACACCATGGGTAAACCCTTCTTGATCTAGCTGTAATTAAAAAGGAATCTGGCACTTGGATACATGTAAAAATTGACTCATGTTCTCAAAAGGCTAATAAACATGAAATGTTATATTAAGACAACCATGTATTTTTTTATCCTTTTGACTTTTGATCTATTTTCATATATTCTCCAAATTCTGGAATAAAGTAATGTGAAATTATTTTTTATGCAGATTTTAATACTCTCTCCTAATTTGCATCCTCCACAATATAGGCCTTCTTCTGACCTCAGTCAAAGTAATGTAAATCAGAACTAGCGCCACTAGGGTCAGTAGAAAGACAACTGTGTGCAACAGGAATCATTACACAAAAGTTCATGCTCAACTTCAGAGGAGACATTTTGCACACATTCACAAAGTTACACTTTCAGTGTCACCTTAAGATAAGAGAAATCTGAACCTCATGCTACACTATACTGCTTTACATAAAGACTATTTTCCAAGAATGTTTTAAGCAATATTAAAAAAAAAGAAAACCAGATTAGTGTTAAAACTATGTGAAAAAAATCACCTCTTGAGTCATCTTAAAGTGTGTAAAGTGTACTCTTGCAAAGCACCTGGACAGGCTACATTTTCTGATTAGCAGTTGTTCACGTACTTCTAACATCCCCTGCACACTATGGGGGAGATTTGACTTTTTTTTGTTTTTCTGACATTTCCTCTCTGTTTGGTGCTGAGCTGCAACTTATCACTGTCAGAACCTGCAGCCCATTCCCATTGCTGCACAAAGGACACCCATTAACAGCTGACCCTTTTTGCATGCCAAACCCATTTGGCAAATTCGCCAGCCCCTTCACGCCTGACCTTGTGATAAAAACAGCAGCCACTGGCAGAAAAAACTCACTGTAACCTTTACTGGCAAGATAACCCAAAACTGGTTTTTCTTCTTAGCTTTTAATTATGAGAATGGTGTACAAAGCTGTACTTTCCTGCCCCCTGCAATCAATCTTTGTCATTTTAAAACTTACAGTTGGAGAAGGATCAGGAAGTCTGTCATAACCCTTCTGCTTCCAGTTCACTTCTAACAGTTTCATGTGCACATGCCTGCCTTCAATGAAGGCGATATAGTCCTTGTAATTGCTGCAAGGCCCTGCTATGATGCTCATAAAATTGAGGAGATAACTTAAATACTCCAGTAAAGAAGGTCTTGACCTGTGAAAAATCAGCCACACACAACAGAACAAATTAAAAAAAAAAAAAAACCAAAAACAAGGTAAAACATATCAAAGGCTTTCACCAACATTTTTTGTCGCACAGTCTGCCTCAGTCCTCACCTCTCTCCTACCCATTTTCCCCCAACTGAAAGCTCTCTAGATCTGTTCTGGGGAAGATAAAACACAGCCTGTCATATTCTGGTGATGTCTGGTAGATGGCAGTCAGAGCAAAGGTAACATCAACGTGCTTAAACTACACGTGAACTAATGCTAGTGATTTGAAAAGTTGTAATCTTAGAAACTTCTTAGCTAAAAACAGTAATAAATTTGTCCATTTTGGAGAGGTCAGCAGTACCAGGAGTGAGAAGCTGGTTATTGGTTTTGGACATCTGTCCAGGATGCCAGGGATCATACTGCCTTGTTATAGAAACCACAGGGCAGGGAGTCTCTAAAACAAGGGCTCTCAGTCCTGGGAGGAGCTCTCACCCTCCCTTCAGTTCAGCCTTTTCAAGAATGGGAAGTGTCACGTGAGACATACAGGGAGAGAATGAATAAGCACTCTCTCCTACTGCTCAAATAAAGGAAGTAATTGCCTGTATTGCATCATGAACAGGAAAAGGAACTAAGTGGGGGGGGGGGGGAATATATGTATTGAAAGATGGCTTAAGATGAAAGTCATACTAATTTTTTTCCATTTTGCAAGTGCATACGCCACAAGTTCCTTCTGGTGCTGTACATTTGATGTAAAATTAAGAAGATCCACTACCTTTGCTACAGATCATTACAATGCAAAGGCCTCCCAGCAGTAGTGTAATTTGTAAATTGTTAGGCTTGGGGGTTTTATGTGGCAGAAAATGTCAACATCCAAACCGTGCACTGTGTTCTGCACTGCATTGGAGTGAGTGCTCTCCACAAATGTCTTAATTGTTACCATTCAAGTAAACATGGAGGCCTCAGATGAGAACACAAACTTGGGCACAGTGCTTGAGGGCTCTCCTGCCCAAGACACAGATGGACACGCATAACCAAAACACACTTAAAATTCTTTAAGACTAAAATGAATTTCTAGCAGAAAAACTAAGCAACAGTTAAACATTTTCTGTTGCCTACTTCTATTCTGAAGTGGAATTAGTTTGAATATACAGTTAGATTAGCAAGGATTTTCTGCATTCACCCTACTGGTTATTGTAGATGTTAGTGCCTGAATGGTATGTTCTCTGGTGAAAGCATTTCACAGAAAGATGGAGCAAACAATTGGGGAAAGAGTCATCTTTCTGTCCTGCAAAAACAGGTCCATGGTGTGGGCTTCCTAGCCCTACAGTAAGATTAAAAATAAAGTCATTAGTTTCAACTTGGGTTCTGCACATAGTTGGGTGGGGAGACATGAGCAATGCACAAAGGAATGTACAGAGGATGAGTGAGAAACAAAAACAGACCAAGAATAGGAGGGAAGACAAAAGGCTGTATTACCAAAGGGGATTTAAAACTCTTCAGTTATGACTTGTCTGCCACTGACACTAACTATTGGCATCTTCTTTTCTATTATGAACTCATCTACTGCACAAGAAAAAATACCAAGCCTGTTTAGTGAGAATTTGACTAGAATTAAGGGCCAAGTGCAGTTAGAAATTATGCTGTGAGCTTTAAAAATAGACACTATGGGGTCACAGTTACCCACAAGAGTTTTGCTTTTCAAGAAATGACTCCCTTACTTTCTGAAGTACATAGGCAGATTTTCTGATGGCTGAATCGTCTATCTTGGAAATTAAGGAAATAATCTTGGCCGTAACAAGCATATCATGGTGAAAAGTAGTTATGGTTCTAAGAGTAATTCTGTAACATTAATTCTTCATAAAAAAAACCAAAACAAAAACAAAAAAAACCCCAACAACAGCAAACCACTTACAAATTCAACTCCATGTTGCATTTCTATTGAGAGACAAACTAGGAAAAAAAGGGTGCTAAAAGAAGTGCCCTCTCCACATGAAAAATGAGAAGTTACATAACGCGGAGACCTAGGAGTATTAACATTATGGAGAGGGACCAAAAAAAAATAAAATCCAGCATTCTAAAATTACGGCAAAGAAAAGCGGCACTTGATTTGTCAGACTCAAACCAAAATGGATTTTTACTGGTGTGGATTTTAGTGGATTGTTGACAGGGGAGGAGTAATTACTTGGAAAAATAGCACATCACAGATCAGATGAAGATACAGCAAATACTCGTTCACTTGCACATGGAGTATGTATTTAAGTATATTTATGAGACATTGCCAAGTACTTCAGTTCTTTACTGACCAGCACAGGTGATAAAGGCAGAGGTCCTGAACTGAAGAAAAAAGGAATATAAGAGAGAAGGTATGTTTGTTTTAAGGAGTGTAATGACAGCAGCATTACAAAGAAAAAATTTCTCAAGCAAATAGAAAAAGCATGTAGGACTTTTGGTATCTCATGGACTGGAAAGTAGCAGGAAACATTTCCATGGCTGGGCCACTATGTTGTCCCTGACACTGTAATGGAAAAAAAAGAAACCCAAACAAAATAACAAATAACAAACAACCTAAACAGTCAACTTCTTTGGCATAAATTGACACAAATCACTCAGATAATTACATCCTTACTTTACAGCAAGCCGATTTTGCTCAGCAGTGAGTTCCTCAGCTTGTCGCCCTATGCCTGGAAAGAAAAGACACATTAGATCTTTCCAAAAGACAGACAGTAAAAGCTATTCCCAAAGCCTTATGCTTGCACCCCAAAATAAATTTGTAAGGCCATAATTTCAATATTTTTTTTTGGTCACAGATGGTTTTAATACATCTCAATCCCTAACTTCCATGTCAAGTTCTACTGTACCTCTACCCAGTTCCCTACCTCATTCCCCCTTTCTCACCCTGGCTACACTGTCAGGAAGCGCAGCCGTAGCATTCCCACACACACAATGGAAGTGGCAATGCCACCAACTGGCTGCGACCCCCAACAGCCTCTACAAACTGTGCTGGGCTAGAAAAACCTCTGTTGCCAAAAGCTGCTGGCTCATTTAAGCACAAGCCTCCCGCTGGCTCCTTGGTGAGAAATGGAGCATTTCACAGCAGGAGGAGTGGGCAGGGGAAGGCAAACAGGCACTCAGGGAACAGAAGCTCCACTGGTGTGAATGAGCAGCCGAGCTGCCTGCTGCTGGAGCAAGCCTAAACATCCACATCAGCAATAATCTGGAATTGTCCAGGTCCAGACTGGAAGGGTGACCTCCTGTTGAGTGCACAAGACCTTTGGGGCCAGAGGTAACACACAGACCCAATGTCCCAGGAAAACGATGGAAAAATCTTGTGTCAGGGCCAGTGATAAACAAATACTGTTTATAGCACATACCTCAAACCCTTCAGCCTAGAGCTTTAGCTGCACATGCTGCAGGGAATCCCACTGGCTTCAGCAGAACTACACGGGATGAGTCTCAGCACTTGGTGTGCAGCATGTGCACAACCCCAGCAGATCAGGGGCTTGGCACCAATTGACACTACTGTTCTAAACATGCTGGCCATAATTACCAATACAGACACAGGACCCACATCCTAAAACTGCTGCTGATAAGCTGCTCATTTCCATTCTCTCTCCACTGTTTCAGTTTGTAAATACTGGGAGGGCCTGAATTTCAGAGAAACAATTAGCACCTAATTACTTAAAGGACTGGGTATTTTGTTTGTCTGTTTCCATTTACGGACAGCTGTGTTAAATTTTTACAAATACAAATTTGCCACTGATGCTTGAACTGCAAGCTGCCTTCATTTGATCAACTGCTCCATATATGGATGTTTGCAATGTAATGAGCCTTTTCCACCATCATTAATCTGCAGGAATTCTGGTGTGTTTAGAATGCTTCTGCCTCTGCTGCTGTCTTTTTCCTTTCTGTCTGGTCGTTTACCTTCAACATCCTAGCTGTGTACCTTTGCTGCATATTGCTGTGGAACTGCAGCAATACCTGAGCTGACTCAACTTCCAGAAGCAGATAAGCCACAGCAACATGAATGCACACAACATGGTCAATTAGCCAAGCTTCCAGCTGTATCTATTATACCCAGATAAAAGCATTAGATTCACTTGTGCAAACCTGGCTTGCAAACAATATCAGACCCCCGTGTGCCTTCACCTAAATCCTTGCTCGCAACAACTCTATAGCAAGGCACTTATTCAGTCACCCACTGTCACAGACATCTTTTATGAAAAATCCTTTCCTTAGGATTTTTCCTCCTGAGAAGCTCAGAGGCCTCAGGAACAAATGCAAACATTGATTATCTGCTGCTGTGGAATGCAACAGGTGGAGCTTTGATTGGCCCATGTTGGTTGTTTCTAATTAATGGCCAATCACAGTCAGCTGGCTTGGACTCTCTCTCTAGGACAGAAGGTTTTGTTATCATTCCTTCTTTTTCTATTCTTAGCTAGCCTTCTGATGAAATCCTTTCTTCTATTCTTTTAATATAGTTTTAATATAATATATATCATAAATTAATAAATCAAGCCTTCTGAAACATGGAGTCAGATCCTTGTCTCTTCCCTCACCCTAAGACCCCTGTGAACACTGTCACAACCCATAACTTGTAAGGCAGTGGGCCTCAGACCATCAGAAATTCGCACTGCAACATCAGTAGGCACAAGCAATAATGCTACTGATGACAAGTGGCATTTTTAGCCTTTGCACTGTAGTAGACACAGGCGTTTTACTGGGAAATAATAGTGCTCTTTGTCACAGCACAGCACAAGACTGAAGACAATGTTATTTTGCTTGCAACTGTGCTTCTCTCTGCACTGGGGAAAAGCTACTGAATTCTATCTCTCACAACTCATGGAGTATATTACCACTGCATATATCAGTGCTAGCATATTTTTTGCTAAATTAACATTAATGACTGAGTGTATGTATCATCAGCTCTTGACTTGTGAGAATCTGTAACAGCTTCAGAGAACTTAATCGAGATGCCCTGTAGCATCTAAACAGGAGATATTGGCACTAGCTAAAATCCAAATTAGGCCACAAGGAAGTAGAATACCCAAAGGGGAAAACAGTTATCTCTGATTCTGCAAAGAGAGTTTGATCCTAGAAACTGATCAAAACTTCAAGTTTCTAATTTTTCCTCCATAAAGCATTTTTCTTCTTCACTTGGAACAACTCGCTGCACTACATTCATTCACTCCATAAATCAACCATAGAATTCACGGGTATATAAAGGCTGTCTTCAGGACAGAGATTCCTTTTCTTACCATCATGTAGCTGGCATGCAAGTGTTGTGATCTTCTGTGTAATTATCATCAGCGGACTATAACAAAGACAGAAACAACAGTTACATGTCTTGTAATACAAATTATTCCCAATTTTCTCACTGAATGTCTTTATGCCTTTAAAAGGCATAACTGTATTAGCAACAAGTGGAAAACATCCAATTAAAGCTGAAGGAGGCACTCAGGCATAAGACAATTGCCTGGGTTCAAAACAACCCCACAGTAACTTGCACTGGAATTTTTAATTGCTAAGTGCACACAAAGCCTTATTTTATATCTCCCTATCGTGCAGCAGTGCAAATTGTAGTTCAGAAGAAATCACACCACCAGGAAGCACCAGCTCCTGCAGCCCACTGAGCTTCTTTTCAGGCAGAGACTAAACTGAAGCTCCATACAATGCAACAGTAGAATACAGCAGTGCTGCTGTAACCCAACTCTGGCTCTTCTTACTGTTTGTTACTCTCCTATTGTCTGTCTCCTCAGTGCCCTAAAAAAATGTTGACTCTGCAGATACAGATGCTTATTTCCCCACATGAATAGCTCTATCAATTAGGACTGTGTGCAAATACCAGAATAGCTGTCAGCACAGCAGTTTCCCACTTGGTTATTGACCATGCATCTGCCTTGTGAACAGCCTGTAGAAGCTACACCATCCAACTGGGAGTACATGGGCATGTGGGATCTGGAGCCCCTGGAAAAAGGAGCTGCTTGTACCTGAGCCAGGCTTGCAGCTACCCAGCAGCTCTGGTGCCAACTAAACATGCCACAAAGAAATAGCCACTACTCCCAGTAGGGCCACTCATACTTCTCATATCCAGCTTTACAGAGCTTCTTGCACTGAAGGCAAATGTGAGCTGCTGCAGCTAAGGAATGGGGAAAAAGACTAAACTCAGCTTGGTGGCCTCAGGAGCTCGTTCCCACAAGGATAAAGGACACAGCCAAGTGTATTTAGAGGAACGTAAGAAAAAAGATGGGAGGAAAACCATGGGGACAACTGACCAGTTCCTCCATCAATGGTGGCAGCCTAAACATGAAACCTGGCACTGAACATCTGCAATCTGGAAGGACCCATAGCAGGCAAAGCAAGGGATGAGCACCCCCTCACACTGCTGCTCCCCATCTCCCTGCCACGGGAGACAGCAGCACAGGGTGCCCAGACCTCTCACAACCACAATAGCCACAAGACGGGAATGGGTGATGAGGACACACCACTATTTTAAAAGCACTGGTTGTGATAAATGTATGTAAAACCAGTACCACAAAAGATGTCTGTCTTCACTGAGGATTAATACAATGGTTGTTTCTCCATTTGAGAATAAATGAACAACTTTAACCAGATGGAGGTTTCTGTTTGAACACAAATGATGTCTTCAACCTGGAAACGAAAACTTGAGTTTGTAACGTTTATTTAACTATTTACACGGTTTGACCAGTATATGGAACTTTTTTAAGAGACAGAGATGATTGTGCCAAACATTACAGCAGTTCATTTTAACTACTGTAATATATTTTCTGGAACACAATTAAAGAAAAAAGTTGAGGGTTTTTTGGTTTTTGGGGTTTTTTTTAATTCAAGCACTGTGTTTGTCTCACAGATTTCTCAAGGTAAAACAAAAAAAGTGAAACTTACATTCTGTGAAGTCTCTGTCTAAAATAACAGTCAAATATTATGTTCTACAGAGATTTTCAAGAGATTCTGGACCATCCTTAACTAAATCAACCTATAGGTTACAATCAAATGTAAACCCAATGGCTGAGATAAACTGTTTACAACCTGATTATCCCACTAAGATAAATCAAACAGATTCTCAAGATAATTCTTAGGTTGAGCATGGTAAACACACAAATATTGGCAAAAGACATTCTTTCATTTGAAGTGGTCTTTTTTTTTAACACTTAATATGGTTGATCTTTTCCAAGAGTCCACTAGTAATTCTGTGTGGGTAAATTGCATTTTCTACCCAAAACAAGAACATGCGATGTCAGCCAATTACTTAATCAGAAACAGCTTTTATCATTTCAGAAGTACCTACTTGAACTGCTAATGAAAAAAAGTTTGCACAAAAAATTCAGAATAGGCTTAAATATACACAGAACTTGAATACAATTGTAATGGAGGAGTTTATACAGCAGCTTTTCTTGGGTCACCTAGACTACTGATAATAGCTAAGGAATGGACAAATTCAACAATGATTTTCACCTTTCAGCAATATTGTCAAACAGTCATTCTAAACTTAATTCCAATTAAGCTTTCAAGAAAAGTGATTTATAAGCTGTTTTTACCATTATCTTCAACATCCTGTTTCTCAAAGTAGATTTTCCCAGACAAAATTTAGCTTTGCTTTCAAAGATACATAAATCCTAATCCTTTAAGCATATGAAAAGGCAGATTTTTTTAATCCTTAAGAGACACAGAGGCTGTCACTGAATGAAGCAGTTTTACTGCAATAAACACAATTTTTTTTTTAAAGTGTTTGACCATTTTAGCTTTATGGGGGAACATTACCACTTGTTTCAAATTGCTTCAATTTGTTGCATATGTTTCTTATGGCAAGGACTTCACGCCAACATTGAAGTGGGTAACTTTAAACCTCAGGCTCTGAGCCAAAACAGTATGACTTCAAGTGTCTAAATTTAGACGCTTGTCTTAGACAAGGCCCCCATGGTAAACCAGAGAGAGCCAAAATGCAAAAAATCTGAGGGCAGCAGGAGTAAAGCCTGCACTGAAGTCATACTACATATAAACACAGAGGAGAGAGGCTCTCCTCATCTATATTAGGAAGTCATTGCCTCATTGATGGCACATTGTAAGCCAAGAGAACAAGTCAGCCTTTCCTGTACTTTCATCAGAAAAGATGGACAGTCTTTCTCCCTCAAATCTCCCAGCTCCAGAGGAGACAAGGGATAACAAAAGTGACATGTCTGTCAGGGCGAGTGGGAAGAAGGCATCATTAGATACCTCCTGTTCTCCCTCCTGACATCATCGTACTACATGACATACGTATTTTCCAGAGTGGCTGGAAAGTGGCCCAGCAGAAAAGGACCTGGGGGGTGCTGGTCAGCAGCCAGCTGAACAAGAACCAGCAGTGCCCAGGTGGCCAAGAAGGCCAATGGCATCCTGGCCTGTGTCAGCAATAGTATGGCCAGCAGGATCAGGGCAGTGATTGTCCCCATGTACCAGTGAGGCCACACCTCCAATCCTGTGCTCAGTTCAATTCAGAGGACGCTGAGGGGCTGCACCATGTCCAGAGAAGGACAATGGAGCTGTGGAAGGGTCTGAAGCACAAGTCCAAAGATGACTGAGGGAGCTGGGATTGTTAAGTCTGGTGAAAAGAGCCTTGAGGGGACCTTATCACTCTCTACAACTGCCTGAGGGTGTAACCAGGTGGGAGTTGGTCTCCTCTTTTGAGCTGCAACAGGGGAGGTTTAGGTTAGACATCCAAGGAAATTTTTTACAGAAAGAGTGATTTAGACATTGGAATGGACTTCCCAAGGAGGTGTTGGAGTCACTGTCCGTGGAGGTGTTTAAGGAAGGACTGGATGTGGCACTCAGTGCCGTGGTCTAGTTGACATGGTAGTGATTGGTCATAAATCGGATTTGACAATCTCAGAGGTCTTTTTCAATCTAAATGATTCTGTGATCTCTTTTTTACCCTATTCAGGAAGGTGGAAAACTGCTGTAGAGTGGCAATGAGATGACACACACTAAATCTTTCACGAGATCAGTGTCAGGTATCATCCAACATCTCACACAAAGGGTAAGCAATGTTCCAGCTGAACAGGGAGCATCTTCTTCCCTCCTCTCCTCCTGCCCACCATTCCCCTCTGACTTGATCTCAGCGGGGCCATGTCTATGCTGCAGCAAAAGGCAGAGCACAACAAAATAATGACATTGCTAGAACTCTCTCTTAAGGGCAGGGAGCGGGGAGGGAAGAATCATAAATTCCTAAACATGTGAGTTTTGATTATTAAAACTTTGAAATACCAGAGTATCGAATTGCCATTTCTATTCAGCCTCTCAGGCAAGCTGTAACTTAAAACAGCAATAAAACATTGAGTAAGTTAATACATTAAATACAGCACCATATCACATATAGTCAACTGTTTCCAATATGGTACTATTTTAACCCTTAGACTCTACTGGAAAAAGTCAGTAGTGCTAAAAATAAGAAGGGAAGTTAACAAAACTATAAATCTCCCAATGTCTTTTCTTACTCCCAAATTTTGCGATGCACAGGTTTTTGGAGAGGAGCAATTGGGTTGAATTCAAAAAGAAAATCTACCTACTACACTTGCACTTACAGATGAAGCACAAAGACTTATCCCTAGGAAGGAAGCATTTGAAATAAAACACATTTAGAAGCCTAAGCAACTTGCAATCCATCACATTTGAACACCTACTGATTGCTTTGCAGCCACATGCTCAGTAGTGATTCCACACCCTCTCCACGTGTCCTATTAAGCACTACAGTTACAAACCACCACAGAAACACTGAATCTGATTTATGTATGGTGTGATTTCCCCTCCTTTCCCATGTTTTATGCATTGGCTATGAGTTTAATCTTAGGTTGTAGCTGAGCAGTACCTCCTACACACAAACCATAGTGGTCAACTTTTAATTAAGAAAAAAAAGAAATCAAGAAATTGACCCAGGGACAATTTTATTTTTCAAGGCATAAACATAAGGTGAAGACAGCTTTGGGGTTTTGTTTACCTCACATTAGATGCCTTGAAAAATAGCACAAGACTAAGATAGAACCGTTTACAGAGAATGCTCAATAGAGGGGTTTACTCCCCTAAATAAACATTCCAAATGAAAACATATCAGTGAATATAATTTTTAAATCCAGCTTTCTCCAAGACAATAAATTTTCCAGAAGCACAGGCCAGTGGAAGTACAGATGTTTTGTTTGTCGGCCACTGTGGGGGTCCTCACTGCATCACAGGCTGGCTTCTGCACGGAGCAAGTTTCAATGCTTACGAGAGAAAAGACGTTTTCCAAGCACAGTCTGCTTGACCTTAGGTAATCCCGTGGAG